CCAGAAGCCCGTGTCTCTTTCAGCAGAGGTCTTCCTCAACCAGCAGTCAGAGAGTTCTGCCTCTAGAAGGCCTCCTTTTGAGCCCAGCAGGGTGGTCAAACTAGCCAATCATAGCATCAGAACTCTAAGCACCTGAGAGAGAGTGGGCACCTCCCAGAACATTGTTTTGTGCCACTCCCAACAGAGATACTCCAGGTGGACACTTTCAGCAATCAGGAGATCCTCAGTTGCTCATAGAAAATCCCACCTTGGCGTTTACAAAGACTTATGGGTAGAAAAGCCACACTAAGTAATTTACTACACCGCACCAATAGATGATATCTTCAAAATTCAAAATTCAGTGTGACCTTTAAAACTCTACTTTATGAAAATCGGTTCCTACTGTTTTCCTTATCCAACCCATACCTTTTTCCCCAGCTTCCTTTCAATAACAGTTTTCTTTGCAAAGTATCTTGCTAATGTTTACCTAGTATTTATGGAGAAGTAAGCAAATAGAAGGAGTTATGTTTTATTTCTCCTAGTTTGTTACACAAAAGATAGCATGGAATTCATACTTAGTTTTGAATGAACAGACCCTACTGGTGATCTTTACACAGCAATGAATGGAATGGTTAAATCTAAATTCTTGTATAATTCCAGAAACTACGTAGAATTGACCTAACTAAAATTTGTTGTTGTTGTTGTTTTTAACTGTATCACCATGAATAGATGCTTGGATTATGGCTGTTAATTTACTTTGACAACTCTTATTGTAGTAATTGTTGTCTGTTCCTCTTGTGCACCTTTCCTTGTTTTCCTTTTCCTAAGTGTTAATTGTGCTGGTCACCCACTTTTAGTATATCCCAAGGCTGGAATCTTTACCTATTCAGCTGTGTTTCCCCCTTCCCTCCCATCCTTGATAACGAATAAAGAAAGTTTCCTTCCCTATATAAACTTTTCCTTGACTTTGTTTTGTTTTTTACTTTTTTTTTTTTCTTTTGGTGAAAACATATACAAGACATTTGCCAATGTAACGTCCCCATTTACACCTCAAGGGCATTAGACATTGATGGCATTTTTCATGTTGTGCCACCGTTATTGATGTCCTTTT